GGGCTCCGGTCGCCTTCCCATCTTTGCACGCGAGCTGCCCTCGGCCCCAGGCGCTGGTGCTGAGACCGCTGCGGCCCTGCGCTGCTCATGGGGCTGCGGCGCTTCCCTGGGAAAGGGAAGGCTACTTGCCCCGTTGCACGGAGGGGCACACTGAGCCCCCCGCGGGCAGGAGAGAGGGGTTCGAAGCCATGGCAGGGTTCCTCGTCAGCCGGAGGCCCCCCGCCCCTCTCCCTTCTGAAGGATCTACCGCCGAGGGACGGGCACCGTGGCTGTGGCCGCGTGTGGCGCCTTCCCCTCTGGGCACCTTCCTCATCGCCCCGCACATGCTTCGAGGCCCTGCTGGGGAGTGGGCGCTTCTGGATGGAGAAAGTTCAGGGGTCACCGGCTTATAGGATGCCAGGGCTGGTGCCCAGGAACTGCTGGCACCAGACGGAGCCCGGCAAGCCGCTGCTTGTTCCAGCTCACAGACGGAGCTGTTGGGGACCTGGGTGGCTGGATCAGGTCTGTTTGCGGGGGACCAGACCCCAGAGTTGCCTGAGGATGGCTCTGAATCTTTTTCTTGCAAACTCCGGTGCAGTTCACTGGGGAGATCTTGGGCTTGGTGGTGGTAGAGGAAGGTGGGGGAGGTTTGGTGTTGGGGAGGGAGCGGTGGACAGGGGCTGAGCTGCTCGGGCTGCATGGGACAAGGGCAGGAGCTGCCACAGCTCCTAGGAAGTGAAGGTGGCATGTGAAGGAGCAGCAAGTGGCCTCCCGGCGGCGGAGGAGAATGGGAGGGGAAGCCTGGGAGAAGAGAAGCGGAAAAAGGTCTGCAGGATGGGGAAGGGGCTGCAGGTGGGGTGAGGGAGGGCAGAGCAGATCCGCAGGGGAGGAAGGGCCCAACGGAGAGAGGAGACGGGGCTGAGAAGGCAACTGGGAGGGCGAGGTGAGGAGCAGCAAGGCCAAGACGAGGGGCTGAGGAAAGAGAAGTAAAGGGAGCAGGTTTTATTTTTAAATTTTATTTATTTACGTATTTTAATCCTCACCTGAGGGTATGTTTTTATTGATTTTAGAGGGAGAGGAAGGGAGAGGGGGAAAGATTGAGAAACATCGATGTGAGTGAGAAACATTGATCAGTTGCCTCCTGTGCATGTACCTTGACCTGGGGTCGAGCCCGAAACCTAGGTATGTGACCTGACCGGGGAATGAACCTGCAACGTTTTGGTGTTGGGGGATGATGCTCCAACAACTGAGCCACCCGGCTGGGGGCGGGCGGGGGGGGGGCTAGTTTTACACAGGGCAGCCCGAGGGTCCGCTGACGCCAAGGTCTCTGTGGGACTTTGTTGATGGGGAAGGTGGACCAGGATGGGAGGCAGGTGAGGAGGGACAGCATCTCCGAGCCCTCGAGCCCTCAGCAGAGATTCCTTCCCGGGTGCCCCCAGAGGCCGAGGCTGGTGGGTGGGAGGAAGAAAAGGAGGAGGGAGAAGAGGCAGCCCAGCCAGATACAAGCTAGACTGTTAACCCTCGGGTGCCCATTCAGATGCTCCTCTGAGGCCCCAGGGGCAGGGCATCTTCACAGTTGGCTGCACTGTCCTCACACAGATGCCTGAAAGAGCTCCAAAAGCCAGGCAGTCCCGGAGGCTAAGCATTGCCCCCTCCATCCCCCTGCCCTTAATCATCATTGTCTTGAAGTGCCTGCGACAAGGATGTCTTCCTGAGCACCCCCCCTCTCCCCCCTCCCCGGGATGGAGCCATGCTGTGCCTTCCCTTCAGGTCCTTGTTCCCTCTCTGCCACCAAGTTCTCCCCATCTTTCCAGGCCCCCTGAGGCCCCTCCTCCCTGCAGCCTCCCTGGTAGCCCAGCCAGGGCCTCTTCTCCCGGGTGAGAGCTGGCGAACATTGAGCTTTTAGTTATATGTAAATCAGCGTGTCCCTGTGGGCTGTTTCATAGCCTCCTTGTGTTTTTCCAATGCGCTGTTTATTGGCAGCATTTGTCTTATCCTCTGGGTTACTGAGGCAGAGCCCAGAGCCTAGGAAGGTGCCAGCCCTCACCCCACCCTAGCAGCATTTCTCTGAATCTGGGGGAGACTTAGGGCGGGGGGTGGGGGCGCTTAAGGGGCGAGGGTGAGGGAGAGAGGAAAGAAGGGGAATGACAGGGTGTCAGGTGCCAGTTCTCTGACTTCACTCTGGGGGTGAGCAGTTACTGGGTTCAAAGAGAGGAGAGAGCTCAGAAAACATCCTTGCCGTGGTAAGAGCTGGCTGGCTGGCTGGCTGGCCGTACAGCCTGATGGGGCTCCGCTAGGCAGGTGTCAGCCAGGACGGACTGACTAGTGCTGGCATTGCCGCTGCCACCGGTTGATTTTGACAACCAGACACGGAGGGCTCCAAAGGTCTCTAGCACGGGACAGGTTCCCAGCGAAACTGAGTTTGTTTCCAGTAGCAGAGCCAGACCTGTGTGGGACCAGGTGGGAGGAAGGGCTGGGCCCAAGGGATCTGTCTCTGGCTCACAGTCTGGAAGCCAGTGCAGGTACATGAACTTGAGAGGAGTGGGCAGCTCCTAAGATGCCTGGCCCCATGTTTGATGTTGCAAGAACAGGAAAATGGGTAGAAGCAAGTCCTGCATTTAAGGAGTTTCTTGTGAAACTGGAATTTAGGCTGGTAGGCGCCTTTCCAGTTCCTCATTACAGTTCAATGTGTAGTCAGGCTTGGCCTGGGTAAATCTGGGAAGGCTTCTTGGAGGAGACGACACTCAGGTTGTCATCGAGGGAGAGCAAGGTTGTGCTGGAGCTGTTAGGCAATCCCCAAAAAGCTGAATTTGGGGAACGCTGCATCCTGGGGTGAGGGATAGCTGTAGCCTTGTAGGTGTGAGGGTATGGGGGCCCTTGGGGAGAGTAAGAGCTGAGGAGAAATGGTGCTCTCTCTCTCACAGACATGGCTGGGCCCCCGGCTACTGCTGGTCTGTCTCCTGGTGAGCAGGAGTATTACCGAGGAGGAGTCGAAGCACTGTAGCCACATGATCGGGGACGGACACCTGCAGCTCCTGCAGCAGATGGTGAGTGTGTGGCCAAGCCTATCCTACCTTCTCCCCAGGGGGAAACTGAGGCAAGAGTCAGGGAGAAGGTCAAAGAGACGGGTGGCAGGCGGAGAAATAGGGCTGTGCAGGACATGGCTCCCCTAATGCTCCCCTCATTGACCTTCTGAAGGTCAGGGCCTCTGACCGCCCTACAGGCACAGGGCACGGTGGGCTCCCAGCTGGTTGCCTGGGAAAAGGATTGCCTGGAATGTCAATCACGGATTCTCCATGTGGAGCCTGCTGTCTGTCCCTCAATGGGAGGCTTCTCTGAGGAGCCAGCCCAGTCTGCCTGCTGTGTCCAGATGTTGCCGCTAGCTCCCAATTGGGACACCAGCCTGGCACCAGGGCCTCCCCAGATTTGGAGCGGAGGCTCCGGCCTAACTCCCAGCCCTCCGCCCTCGTAGCCCTGGCTCCTGCTCGAGCCCTGCATTCAAGGAGTTTCTTGTGAAACGGGCTAGGATGGCCGGCTCGCCCTGGCCATGAAGGAACCTGTGCCTCCTGGCCGGGCCAGCAGCGTCATCAACAATTCCCAGCGTGGTTCAGCCAGGCAGAATCGTTTGCTGTCATGGCCGCTGTTCTGCTCAGAAGAGAGTTTACCATCCCTCTGGCCAGCCAGGCAGGGTGGGGCACCACTGGTGAAGGCCAGCCCCCGGGCTCTGAGCTTGGGGCCGGCAGGCTGGGCCTCCTGCCTCTTTTCCTCCTGCATGTCGCTGCCACAGAAACCCCGGGGAGACCGGGAGCTACTGTCTGAGGCTTAGAATCACAGAACCATGGCTGGGGGGTGGAGAGGTGGAGGGGGCGGAGGCGCAGCAGGGGTTTCCAGGGCATTTAACCCCAGCTCCTATAGATCCTGAATCCCCAGAACTTGTCTAGCCTCTGCTTGAATTCCTGCCATGACAGGGAGCTCACTACCGCCCACGGGAGCTTATGTCATGGAGGGGGAAGTAGAAGGAAGAGACTTCTTATCCTTTGCCAGTCCTCCCTTGGGCACGTGGGAGGCACAGGTCTGCCCCTATCTTCTTTCCAGGTGTGGTTAGGGGAAGGTGGATGAGGCTCAAACCCTGATCCACCCAGAAACTCTAGTCCCCATTGTTAGGTGAGCTCAGCCGAGCTGCGGATACCCTGCCACCACTGGCCGCTCTCTCTTACAGATTGACAGTCAGATGGAGACCTCGTGCAAAATCCCCTTTCAGTTTGTGAATGAGGACCAGTTGGTGAGTTAACGGCTACTTACAGGACCCAGCGGGTATGCCCTCCTCGGGGTGGGTAGAGTGGGAGCGAGAGGGCTGGAGAAATCCTAGAGCTGGGCAGGGTAAGGTGTGAGGATCCCTGGGTGCCCAAGTCTGGGGTGTCAGGGTCCAGGGCTGGGCAGGGTGAGGGGCTCAAGTCCCCTGCTGCTCCCTTTCCTGGCCCGGCACATGCCAACGTCTTCCTGTGGCCCAGGCACTTTTCTAATTTAATCTTGATGGAACCGTGGTGTGGCACACAAGTCTTGTTTATGGTCCCCAGAGAGATGAAGGGAGCACAGCTCGTGAGCGGTGGAGGTCTGATCTGCACCCGGGCAGGCCGGCACAGGCTTTGCTTATGGAAGGCATCTCCGTCTAGCAGACAGACCAGCAGCCAGGGGATCGGTCCAGCCCTTTCCCTCTTCCTCCTACCCCACCCCCCAACCAGACACCAAGTGATGCTGGGCTGGCCTCCCCATCAGTTGCTTGGACAATTTCAAGTACTTCCCAAATGTCCTCACGGCTGTCAGTGCACCCCTCATCCCGCCACTAAGGGGAGCTCTCGGAACCCTAACCTGCTACTTCCTCTTCCCCCCTCCAAACTTGTCAGGGCCCCCCTGATCCAGAAGAAGCCTAGGTTGCTTAGCCTGGGGTTTATTAGCACCAGGCCCCACCCACGATCCCCATCCCTTGCTCCTTCCTTCCCACAAGCCTGTGATGCTGGCCAACGCCCCCACCTCAGCCCCATTCCCGAGTTTGTTCATCTCTGTGCCCCATGCCTAGTCGCCGCGATGCCCAGAAGTTGTCGCCATCTCTGAGTTTCTCCACACCTGACCCATGTATACGTCTGCTAGATCGGGAGGCCACCTCCCAGTGCAGAGAACACCCTCTGTATTCCATTCATGGGGTGTCAGGAATGCTCCTTCCAGAAAGTCAACACTCTCTAATCAGAACCCACATTTCCCTCCCTGTACCCCAGCCCCCAGGGTGCCAGATCCCAAAGAGAGAGAGTGAAAGGCCAGCTGAGGGCAGCAGCATCCTCCTTAGCACGAGTGGTGTGTCCTCTCCACCACCCTGGAGTTGGGGTCAGGGTCAGGATCGGGGTGGGGCTGGCTGCAGCCCTCCATCTGCTGGGGTGGGTGCATCTACCAGACCATCAACTCCAGGTTCTCCTTTCTCAGCAAGACCACGTGTGTTACATTAAGAAAGCCTTTTTCTTGGTGCAAGACATCCTGGAGGGCACCATCAGCTTCAAGGACAACACCTCCAACGCCATCGCCCTGGTGAAGCTCCAGGAGCTCTCCGTGCAGCTGGAGGACTGCTTCCCCCCGGTCTACGAAGAGCAGGAAACGGTAGGAGGCCCTGGAGCCCGAGCCCTGGGTCAGGGCAGGGGCCGGCTGTGGTGGTCCCCGCCCTCCCACATGCGTAGAGCAATCACTTCCCTCACGCATCCCACTGCTCGCGCTCTCTCGTTCATTGCTCCATCCACACACCTTTGCTAAGGATTGACTGTGCGGGAGGCGCAGTGCTAGGCCCCGACCGTGTCTCCAGGAACAAGAACTACCTGGTTCCAAACCTCGTGGAGCGTGCAGTCAAGTGAGATTGGCAGCCATTAAACAGTAACAAGCAAAACCCTTCCTTTATCCCACAAGAGTGCCTACTGTGTGCCACGCACTGTTCTAGACACCAGGAAACCAAAGACGGGCAGAAATCCCATGTTCACGGAGCTTCCATTTGGGGGTGGTGAGACAGTTCACAAAATATAGGTCGAACATGCGGCACGTCGGACGGCAGGAGCTGCGTGGCCAGAGAGAAAAGCAGGGGAGGGAAGACCTGCAGGAGGGAGGGGGGCCGTGAAGGAGGGAGAAACAGGGCTCATTTAAGAGGGAGGGGAGGAAGAGCCAGGGAAGACTTTGAGGAAGAAAGTAATTTTTTGAGGCCCAATGGCGGGCAAGTTAGGAAGCGACGAGGCTGGTCAGAGCATTCCAGAACCGAGAATGGTATGCAGGAGCCTGAGGTGAGCAGCAGCCTGCACATTCGGGACCCATGCAGCATGGCCCGGCGTGGAAGTGAAGGGCGGGGAGGATCGCTGGGGTCCTGACCGGGTGGGATTTGGCCTGAAGAGCGAGGCAGCGTTGGTGAGCCGGCCAGTGACCGGACCTAATTGGTGTTGTGAGACCTTTCTGGTTGCTGTGCAGAGAAGGGGCTGTGGGAGCAGGTTTGGAGGCTGGGAGACCAGCAGGAGGCCCAAGTCCCACCCCGAGACGGGATTTGGCCACGTGGAGGTCAGTGTCACTGGCTGGTGCCAGATCAGGGTGAACAGAGGGGACCTCGGCTCCAAAAGATGCAGAGAGAGAGGTCGCCAGAGGGAGTGTGGGTTGAGGGAGGAGCCTTTTTAAATAAGAGAGGTATGAAAGCTGCGGTTTCCCAATATTAAGGTTCTTAAGACGCACTTGGGGAGCTTATTTAAAACCCAGATTCCCAGTGTGCACCCCTAGAGCAAGCATGTCAAACTCGCTGCTTGCGGGCCTCAGGCCGAGGGTTTGACATGCTTGCAGAGAGTCTGATTCATGGGTCTGCGGGTGGGCCCAGGAATTTGCATTTGAACAAACCACCCCACCCTCCACCCCCGTGAATGCCCACGGGACAGGCTCCAGGAGGAATGCAGCCCTGGGAGCTAGAGGAGCTAGTCTCCTGCGGGGACGCTGGGGAGGGATTCGGGCTCCTGAGGAGAGAAGACACAAGCCTGTGGACACAGTGGGCATCGGGGACCTTCTGTCTAATGGGCCCTGTTTTCTCCAGGAAGAGGCCAGAGAGCCAGGGTGGCCCTTTCCAGC